TTTATTATTTTTTTTTAATTTAGATTTATTTTTTAAATTATTGACACTGAAAGTTGCTTAATAAAGCTATATAAAAGTTATATAATTTTAATTATACTGCAATTGCAGTAACAACTAAAATCCACTATTTCAAGACTACTACTGCATCAAACCGCAAACTGGCATGTGTACAGATCGATAGGAAAGGGTAAACACTATATGAATAAGGTTTATATCTATACGTAATGTACTGAAATATAAGTGACCACGTAGGCGTTGATTTGGACTACTTGCAACTACGCCTACACGTGCCGCCTATGACGTAAAAACGTGAACGGCGATAGTTGTATGGTATTGTTACGATAGAACGAGCATGTAATCAATCTATCAAATATGAAATTGCAAGGAAAATGTGCACTGAAAATTTAGCTGTCGATATTTACTGTTTGAATGAATAAGTAAATGAAACTGGCACTGACGAAATAATTCAAAGCTCATTGCCTCTTTTTACGCCATGCTGAAATTTCGCCACGAAATTTAGTGCGATTTAACAAAATCGTCGCATACTTTTGGCAAAAGTTGAGATGTATTGCGAGTTTTATTCGAGTCACGTAATAATATACGACGAGAATTGAGTTTGTTAAACTGTAGCCCGCGAATAATTCTCTCTCTCTTTTAATGTCTTTTATTCTTGATGAGAATGGATTGATAATTTTCTCACGTATGGATTATTAGATTCAAGAAAAATTTTGTCAGAAGGAAGTTTCTGGATAGTAAATTCTAGTTATGAGCGTAGCGTTAAGAAAAGCATAAGTAAAATAACATAATTTAATGTCGTAGAAAATATTAAAAAGTATTTTCTGATACAATAAAAAAATATATAAGACACAGTCTTCATTTCGTAATAAATAGAAATAATTTCCGATTTAATTATAGCAGAAAAAACATATAATGAAAGAACGACTGTTCGAAAAAATTTACAATTATACGCAAATAATTCTTTTTTTTTATTACATTCAGTTATTTGCACTATAAGTTTCCGAAAAAAAAATGGACTTTTTTTGTACATTTAAGTTTGATATAACAAATTAAAGATGTAATAAAAGAGTCGTAAAAAGTCATTATGAAGACAATCGCTATAAAGGATGATAAACAGGGTAATGTTACAGTTTCGCCTCTCATAGAAAGCGACAGGGAAATTTTCATTAAGCATTTACACGCACATTAGTATCATTGTCACGAACTTCCAAAGTATTTATTCTTACTTCGGGAAGATCTATAAATTACATACGTCCTCGAGGAACAGTAACGGAGTCCCGTTTCTCCGATTATTCTCTATCGAAAGCTCAGTCAATATTATGCAAACGTGGATCAACAGTACCTCCAGAGCATAGATTTCTGTAGAATTCTAAAAATAATAAATTTTATTGACGATGAGGCGGTGATATTATATAATGCTGAAGTATGTTAACGAAATTACGATAGACGAGATTATCTCCTCTCTTAATTTCGCGTTTACGAAACGCATCGTTGAGTATCATATAAAAAAAAACTTATAACGGGGATAAAGAAATATATGACTTGCTATAAAATTCGGAACAAAAGTCTATATATTTTTTTACGAGCTTAGAATTAATCTTTATTTTAAGAAGAGTTCCTAAAGCAAATATTTCTTATTAAAATTTTTCAATCTTAATAAAGAAATTTAAAATTAACTATAATTTAACTAATAATAAGAAGAGAGGAAAAGAAAAGGTTTATAAGAAAGATCCATAAATGAAGATTTTATTTATAAAATGTAGGATAATATTTTACAATTTTTAGATACTTAACAATATTATATAGCGAAATAATATATCAGAAAAATTTGTCGTCATTATGTATATCTATCAATTATATTTACTAAACACACACTCATAGAAAAGATTCCCTGATCCAATAGTACTTTTCGATTTAAAATATAAAATGGGATCAATATAGGGATAATCATATTTATTGTTAAATAGAGGAATATTTTAATCTTAAATAGAAAATTCTTAATTCTAAAATCATTTTAGACATTGGTTTCGTGCCAAATACTATAGCGTCGACATATATCGTGTCATAACGTACAAATTTATTTTAAACATAACAATATATAAACTTAAATAATATATATGTCACTCTTGTCTCAAGAAAATAAATTAATCTTATTTAATTCAAGGGAGAAGAATAGGAATTATTGATTTAATCTTAATATTGTCTTATTTTTATACTGCATAAGATTGCGATAAGATTAAGTATGTCAAGAATTTTTATCTCCTTATCAAAAATTCTTTCTGAGAGGACAGTTATTGTGAATTATCTGATAACTTTGTAATATTTGTTTAAATCTTTATTAAGCCCACTTTATACAATCTATAATTCGAGAACAAATTCAAAATAAAATTTTATTTTTAATTTTGTGTGTCACATATCTTAAATATAAATATATACTCTGATATATATATTTTGTAAATATGTAAATTTTATTTCAAATATTTTCTGTTACACGAGAGAGAGAGAGAGAGAGAGAGAGAGAGAGAGAGAGAGAGAGAGAAAAACACGCAAAATTATAAATAGAATTCAGTTCCGAATTTGGAATTATATAACTAAAGTAAACTTAGATGCTGACATGAAAAATCAATTTTATTTTGATGCAATGCCGTGCATGCTGTAGCGCGCATACTTTCTAAGTTATTATAATGAAAAGGAAAAATCGATAATACAAAGTCCACGAAGAATACATGGGGTATGTATATTTCTTTCTCTCTCACGATTATACTCAAAATTACATAGCCAAAGAAACAATTCAGTATAAATATTGCGCTTCGTTGTGCATTCTACGTTTCGCGCGTGAAATGTATTGCGACAATTGCAATTACAGACTTCGAAACCCAGGGAGTTCAAGGTACAAGAACCGACAACTACCTTTTACTACCTTTTCGAGTATGATTTATGTACATAATTACATGCAACCGACGCATTCAAGAAACGAAAAATATGTCTTCCACATGGAACAGTTGTTGTCTCGAATTTATTTCAAAAAGTTACTAGAAAATTTCTTATTTAAAGGTCGAAGGGCAGCCAAGTTTTTGTGATTCCCACGAACTTTGTTCAACAGTGCTTTGATTTACCAATCGTGATTAAACACGATTATTTCTTTTCATCGATTCAGTCGATAAATGTTTTCTTGAAATACTTATCGAGTGTCATTTATGCTGACCAGTAAGATAAGCTGTAATTCGCAATGATGACAAGCAACAATCTTTGCCGCGACGACGATTACTCCGGTTAATATTTGATTTCGCGGGTTAACTCACCAACCTATCCAAGTGACTCGAATTTATGAGAGCATTGCGTCCCTGCATTATTTATGAAAGAAAAAAAATGAGTCGAATGGGCGAACGTGGCGGCAATATTGAATCCAGGCACCCGAACTGCGGAGTAATCGCAGTAATGCGAAGGAGAAACTAACTAGGTCAATTTTGTAAGTTTTCGAGATGCATAATAAAGATTGTATACAAAATATAAACGACGCTCGATTTCAAGCTATATCTGTTAAAGATCGCCAGAACGCGCGCAACTATAGAAATATTTGTACGGGCGTTTTGTATTCATGGATCTTTTGTACGTTACCAAATTGCTAGATAAACGTCTAATTTGTTTGAAGCTTTGTTTATCGCGCGCTGAAATATGAATCTCGAGACTGTGGTCCGATTGTAATAGTTGTATTCGAGATACTGCGGTACTTAGTTTTTCCCTTCAAATTTAATGCCTTGTCACGAATTGTGCATTTAAACGAGATTTATTCATTCAGCGTTCAGTTTCGCTTTAAATCATAGTCGCAGCTTACACTGGTTACATTCGATTCCTAAAGCGATTAACGGTAAAACTAAAAGTCGGCTCTTTGTGCGGCAAAATCGGCTAGAGTTTTCTTTAGAGTATAATCCTGAAAGGGACGCCAATCAATGGAGTTAATCGTTGAGTTTCGTGTACGGATTTATCAGTATCAGAAATCCATTATTTAAAGTTGTCGCTTTTACGCGAAAATATTTTATCTCTTAGATTTGGCGATATTTTATTCTTGCGCGATATGTATCAAAATGTTAATTTTAATAATTAGATAAAAATCTAATAGCGAATTCAGTTGGATGCACTCGGTGCTCACTGGTGCATATTAAAGCCGTTGTACACAAATTGATATAAAAATATGTTTGATATAAATACAATATTATAAACGGATTAAATCATAAAATCCTCACTACATTTAATTGTGCTGTTAGATAAATTCTATATTTTATAATTCAAAATATTTACATTTTACTTTTACACAGATTAAATTAGTGTACAACGGCTTTAATAATGCGCATTAGTGCATCCAACCGCTATAATATATATATATATATATACACACACATACACACACAAATATTTATTTGAATAATCTTAACTTAACATTTACTTACGGTAAATAAATATTTACTAAATAAAAAAATGATGATTAAGTTAAATTAATGATTCTTGTATCAAGTATAAATATATATATATATATATATGTATATAATATATATATAAGTTTACATTTAGTGTAAATTTAAAAAAAAAGATATAAACAAATATTTAGCTAGTACTGTCCAAACAAATATTTATTAAAATTTAGTTTTTTTCTCATTGCAGTAACTTTATTGCCTTACTAGATTTCATCACATATATTTTTTTCAAATCTGGAAATAACTTTCTTTTAGATGTAAGTAATATGAAATATAAACAACTCGAATAAAAGTTATACAAGAACTTTCTATGAAATGAAAACAGTCTGAGTTTAGCATTTATTTATGTATATTACTTTCTCGTTTAAAACTCTGTTAAATTTCATCTCGACAATGAGTGACATCTTTACCAGAATTATCTTAAACTAAGATTCTAATTACAAGAATATTAAGATCAGCTTCATCTGAGATAAAATTAATTGTGCTTACAGATGTTCATTCTGATTATAGGTATCCAGTAACGAATACTTTAGCGTCAGTTTTGAGGTGGGCGACGACGTCTTGACTTCCTTCGACCGGGAGGAGTTTCTACCGGCGACGCGAGGAACTTACCTGGTGTGAGTGAAGCTTTATCATACTTTTAATACTTTGCGCATCTGCGCCGCCGTCGGGGGCAATAAATTTTCACGCGTGTCACGTTGTGCGTGACACGAATGACAATATGGCGATATTTATAGACGCGCAACGGAACCGCAATACGCGCGTCCTGGGACCGATTATTCAATCGGATAACCGCCGACATTACGTCATACGACTTACAAAACCCTTCCCGTTGCAGGCAAGGATGCGAAAAATGCACGCTGTCCGCCCTCGCGACATCATTGTTCCATTATCTCTCGATCCTGAGGCGGATCAGTTTCAAAATATTCGTCTCGACATCGACGTCTTTCATCCCCCGTCGTTGTCGCAAGATTAAAATTCACCCCCAAAGCGAAAAATCCTTGTTCTACTTAAGCGATCAATAATGGTTCATAATTATTATTTCTCCATAATTATTATTTCTCCATATTTTTACGAGAATAATTTTAGCTTCGCGGCATCTCATGTTGAAATACGATTGCATTATTTGTCAATTACACAATAAACTTACAATTTATTTCCATCATATGTGATATACGATTCTCATTGCAATGTGACGTTTTCTCTACGAGAGAGAATATTTTCCAGAGCATAAATCTCCGAAATCACCAATTTCACGTTCAGCGTTTTTTGCCATTAATTCTCACTAATTAATGCCTGCAGAGACATGCTTGGAATGTACTATACGTAATACCTATCGTTAAAGAACATTCCATTAAGTCAAGTACCACCGTCATGTATCACATGTTGTTTAACGACGACTGAAGATATACCAACTGACTGCGTTACATTCAATCTTCTTTAGATTCATTCACGAAAAAAAAAGGAAATGGCTCCTCCTACCTCTTTTATCGATCTCCAGGGCGATCCGACGATCCATTAAAGAAAGAGGAGGTGGAGAAAAGAAGGCAGAAGGTACTTCTATTTTTGAAATCGTAGAAGGTCGGTTCTTATTCCCCCCTAGTTGGCCGCTCTATAGGGTGTACCGATTTATTATCATGACATTGACGAGGGGGAAGCGAATTTGTGGGCGGAAATAAATAGGCAAAGCTCGTTGCCGCATTTATCCTGGTGCGTTTATAATAAGGGACAAGGGAAATATAATAAGTAAAATATAATAACGCACTGGAAGTGCTTTATTTCATAATCAAGAGTGCAGACTTACCTCAAAAAATATACGCACTGAAAAAAATATTAAATTTTAATAAATATTTGTTTGAATAGTTTTAATCAAATATTTACTAAATATATAAATATATACATACATTTATTTAATTATTAACTTATTTAATTATTATTTATAATAGAAAACATTAATTTGATTTAAATATCATTTTTTTATTGAGTAAATATTTACTATAAATAAATGTTTACTTAATACTATTCAAAGAAATATATAAGATTTAATAAGTTTTTTAATGTACTGTACGCAATAATTACTTGTTTCAAATATTTTACAAGTTCATATATCCGCAAATCTATCTTTATAAGTTCATTACAAGGATGATCAGATTTATTCAAAATATTTATTTTGAATCCTAAGTAAATTTAATACTATTAAATTAAAACAAATTCGATTTTTTTATTACATAAAATCTTTAATGAATTTTATAATATTTCTTCAAAAGAAAATTAATTGAGTACGTATAATGATTTTTTTTTTAATTCTTAATAAATACATTTTAAGTTTATCATCAAGAAAATTATTATATTGAAGAGAACCGTTATTTAAAAGAAGGAAAATAAATTGAATAATTATAGATATTTATTAACAATAGGATGATATTTTTATATGCAATTTATCTTGATAATTTATTCAGGAGACTTCTTGTCCTTTATTTGTTTTAATCAGCGAATATATGAATATATGAATACCCTCGTTTAGCCGCGAAAAATTTCTTCATAAACGAGAAAGGAGGGAGATACGATTATATTAATTAAAAATTCCTTTCCGGAATAAGAAAATGGTGTCATTTTAATATATACGCCGATCGTACGTAGTAATCCGTCTCGCAGTTTTGTAAGCGCCACTTCTTAACTTTTCTGCGATTTTTCGAGAGTGAGCAATAAATTAATGGGCGAAATTTACTGACGGAGAATTTCCCTAGAGATGAACGAGATGCACTTTAAAACGCCGCTGTTTTAGAAACGTCCCAAACTTTTGAAAAGCTTCGCCTCATTTGAACGGCCATTTAATGTTCAGCAATCAAGTAGCTTAATAATCCAAGCGGTTATGACAAGCAAGATATAGAAAAACTTTTAGGAACTTTAGATGGGTGACAAACGCAGAAATCTCTTTTCAGAAAATTAAAACATGACTTTTTAATTTTTTTTCAATCTTCTTGACTTTTGTTATTTGCCAGACTCACAAACAATTCAATCATCATCGTCGCTATTTTTGTCTTTAATCAAATTCAGCTGATTGCCGTACCACTCGACTAATATATTTGTCCAACATGACAAATAGTATAAAAAAATAAACGTGCTGTCTCATGGAAAGATAATGCTACCTGTCGCTGTGGCTCGCGTGAAAGCCCCTTACGCTTTCAACCGGATTACTCTTAATTGCCAAGCATTGTTACGCGGCGAGCCGAGAATTGTACAAAACCTATGCGCTTTTGTTGCGTCTCTCCGCATCGTCGCATGGAAAAATTTTACAAGTCCTGGGATCACGACCACGAAATACGCATTTTGCATGAAAAGCATAGTGTTCGTCAACATGAGATCTTTCTCAGATTGCGCGGATCATTCTTTTGTTGCTCATAATAACCCCCCGAAGCTACAGCTTTCATTACAATTAAACGCGAGCGTTATCGTCTCTTCGCGAGAGTCCAGAAGGAAAAAGAATTCAATTCGTGTGGTTATAAAGAATTCGATTTGGCATCCTTTCAGTATAATTGAAATATCTTAGAATAAAAAAGAATATTTCACAAATCAGATAATAATTTCTCTTCTTTATTTCTATTTCAAAATCACAAATTTGTAAAATTTCATAACTTTTCTTTGATTTCCAGACAAAATTTTATGATTTTCCCTGATACTTTTAATAATATTTTGAAATTTTTTATATTTTCATCAAATATTTTGTTGAGGAAATAATTTAACACAGCAATGTGTAAATTACTGTTAATGTTGCTGCTTAATTGTTAAGTTTGCATACAAAATTGCATAGAGATACGATGTATTTATATTAAATTCTTTAAAGCCAAGAATTTTAATTTTCCAGAAAATTTGAAAACTTCCTTGACTTCCCTGATTTCCCTGATCGTTTTCAATTTCTCCGACATTTTCCTGTTTTGTGACAATTCTGTGTTTGTTCTCTCAGGCTGAATTCATTTTGATTAAAATCTCTCAGTTGATTACGCGCGTTAATTATTTATGTCGCATTAATTATTCGATGTCTAAAAAAATCAAGCGACAGGTTTATTCAAAAGGCATGGAATACATGGAATGGACTCTTCCTTTTTCTATTTTTCCCCTTCTTCTTTGTATTCGAAGTATCTCATGCGAGGAATGTATATTAACGACGAATATCGCTTAATCACTCACTTTGAAATGACATATCACTATTTAGAATGTTACGTGCATATATATATATATATATATATAT